GCATGTGCCCCGATTGGGAATCGAACCATGACCTCCTGGTTTGTAGGTCAATGCTCAATCACTAAGCCACGCCGGTCAGGCTAATCATGTATCATTTTTAGTGCTCCCTATTTTTTATTGTGTTCTCCTGTGAGAAAGCAAGCTCCTGTGTTTATTTGTATTCCCAGCCCTTAGCACAGTTCTTGGCACTGTGCTCAAGAAATATGTGAGAAGGAAAAGAAGGGAGGAGAAAGGAAAGGAAAAAAGGGAAATGTGGTGTGGCCTAGGTTGGCTCTGGGGTCCAAGTGAAAATATGAAAAGACATTCTGTCTTCTATTTCTTAGCAAAAATCCCCTGTTACCGTCTATAGTTGGATCCTATGGAGGTTCCCATGGTATAATATATTAAATTTTAACTAATCTTAAAATATCTATTTAGCACAGTGGAAAAAATGAGTAGGGTGGAAGCTTTGCTTGTCTACAATGTTGAGTTTCTGCCCCAGAAACTTCTGGTAGTCCCTGATAACAGTCCTGTAAGGGGTGCCTGTTACTCCCCTGCTCTGTTCATGTTCTTTTGAGTACAGCAGTAATATGAGAGCTTTTACCACAGTGACAGAACTTCAGCAAGCAAGTTGAAGGGTGGTAATTTTACACAACTGCCTTTCTTAGAGGTCCTGGCAACAACTTCCTTTTCCTCAGTGTGAGCTGATGGCATAGTCACTTCCTATTTGGTCTCAACTGCCAGTTTTTTTCCTGTTTTTAACTGCCACCTTTGACTAGAACTGTTTTCTTGAGAAGCCTACAAATTAAAGAACAAGTGGTCAATTCAAGACATTTTAAAAAGTTAATTCAGAGGGGAAAATATCACCCAAATTGTTTGCTTAGCATCATTTCATGGAAGCACATGAAAGGTTCTCCTGTGACTAAAAACTGCACACTGAAGAGCAAAAAGAAGTTACCTGACTTCATTACAAGGAGTCTAGTCACCCAAAGACTCTGTTCTAAGAAACTCCCCAGTCTCTTCATGTCCCTCCTTGGCAACACAAAACTATCATTATGGGATGACTGGTGTACAGACAGTGGTTTTGTCACCACTGAAGCAACTATGAGTACATTTAGGCTTCTGAAGGCTTACCTTGGGCCCACAGCATTTAAAGATCAACAGTGCAATTCTGTGAGAGTTTAAGCAGGCAGAAAACTGAAACCAGGAAGATTCTCTTAACATTTCATCTTTTGACTCTTACCTCTACATCTGAATGAAATTGTCTGGACCATCTTTTCCTCTCTCAGTTTTGCAACCAATTTGTAAAGGCAAGAAATTATGAGCGCCTCGATTTTTTTGGTCACTAAATGCAAATATTTCGAAGTGAGTAAGCATATATGTAAAGAAATGTTATAAGCAGGAAACCACCTAAGCAGCATCTGCTTCCCCCCCACCTCCTCTGTTGCTCTATTCACCTCAGTAACATCAGGAAGTAAAGTTAGCAAGAAAAATTTTGTTATAAAATTGTTTTGTTGTTTTAAATTATACTTTGGTATTGTGCAATCCCAAAAAGGTGCAAGGTTACTCAGGAGAAGCAATCACATAGGTTTAATGCTCCTTCACCAAGAATCGATTCAATAGGTTTTCCCTGGGGATGCTTTGCTAGAACAATAGCAAGGATACAACATCTGCAAGAACTATTATATCATGGTTTCCAATTTGATACCCACAGAGAGTAAAGAGGAGATCTGAGGCATCAAACATGCATAGATAGATAGATTGATAGATAGATAGATAAAAGGGACTCTTAAATGTTGTCCTTCCAAATGTTAGTAGAGTCCAGTAACTTTAATGAAAATATTCTTATGACTGGATCATGAGCTTCTAGAATTACTCAGATAAGTTCCTTTAGTTTTAAATAAACAGATAATTAAAAGAAATCCAAATGACTGTATCAATTTGCTCTTAAACTTCATACATTTATATAATTTGTACACTCAAAGTAGTTATTAGGCTCAAAATATGAAAGTCCAAAATGTGAAAACCCACCTTTAAATTTTGTAAAGTGGAATAAGAAGTCAAATTTATCTCAATTAGGTATCACATTTGAATGTTCCTAGCTAATGCCTGGTACATTAGAATATGCTCCATGATTAAACATTTTTTAAACAAACCATTACATTTTCTTAAAGTTATTTTCTGTTCAATATTAGTTTTCATTAAGTAGTATTCACTCTTTGGGGCAGGTGATCTTTGATTTAATACAAAAGTAATATAAAAATACTACTTTGTTTCCAGTACCCCCTTGATGCAGCCCAGTATCTTGTGGGTTTTGTTATTGTTGTTTTGGAAGAAGAACAGCCACCACATTGAACTGAAATCCTCAGGGAACAGTAATCCCTAAGTCTATTTCTTGGCTAGTGACCCCTAATGCAAAGAGTGTGAAACATGGATTTTCAAACCTTGGAACCATTGACATTTTGGGCTGGGTAATCCATTGTTGTGAGGGCTGTCATGTGCATTGGAGGATGGTTAGTAGCATCCCTGGCCTCTGCCCACTACAAGTATCACCCTGTCCTAGACACTGAGGATACAGCGATGATCCAAACTGACAAGAATGTTGCCCACTGAGTGTTGGCATCCTACCTGAATAATTCTTATGTAAGAGAAGTTGGAACTCTGGCCTCAGGGACCTAATAATCGTGTTAAGCAAACTAAACAAATGAAATGCATAAAATAAGAGCAAAACTACAATGTGAGTGCTGCTTCCACTGACATGCAATAGGAGAAATTTGAGGGAGGGCATGGAGCAACAAGGAAGCCTCAATGGGGAGGGGATTTGAGATGAGCCTTACCTGATGGAACTTGATTCAGACCCTTGTTACTCAAAGTGCGGTCTAAGGATCAGCAGTATTGACACCACCTAGAACTTGTTAGCAATGCAGAATCTCGGGCTCACTCCACAGTTGCTAAGTGAAAATCTGCACTTTAAAGATAATCCCAGGGAATTTCTATGGACATTTAAGTTTAGGTCACACTGCAGGTTTCTTGTCAGTGTGGCATTATTAAGTGTATGCTGAGCTAGTGGAAATAGAGACTGGATTGGGGACTATCATCATATTAGAAGTAGTGAGGGCCTGGACTTGGGAAACAAGGAGTAAGGGAAATACAATTATATTTTTTATCATCTGAATGGATAAGAAAATGTGGTGTATATACATTAAATGAAATATTACCCACCCATAAAAAGGATGGGAATCCTGCCATTTGCAACAATATGAATGGATCTTGAAAGCATTATGCTTAAATGAAATAAATCAGACTGAGAAATACAAATATGTGGAATCTAAAAAATACCAAATTTAGACAGAGAGTAGAGTAGATTGGTGGTTGCCAGGGGCAGGAGATGAGGGAAATTGGTGAAGGTGGTCAAAGGGTACAAGCTTCCAGTTATAAGATAAATAAATTCTGGGGATCTAATGTACAGCACAGTAACTATAGTTAACAATACTATTTTGTATACTTGAAATCTGCTAACAGAATAGATCTTAAAAGTTAGAGGTACCTGTGTTTTAATTCCAAGCTTTACCACTTCTTAATTGTGTGAAATTTTACATCAAATTATTTAACCTGCCCAGCCAGGATGACTTAGTGGTTGAGCTTTGACCTATGACCCAGGAGGTCATTGTTCGAATCCTGGTCAGGGCACCTGCCTGGGTTGTGGGCTTGATCCCCATTGTGGAGTGTGCAAGAGGCAGCTGATCATTGATTCTCTCTCATCATTTATGTTTCTCTCACTCACTCTTGCTTCCTCCCTGAAATCAATAAAAAATATTTTTTAAAAATAAAATTATTTAACCTCACTGAGCCTTTTTAAAAAGTCTGTAAAATGTGTGTGTGTCAGGGGTGGGGGCTATATGACCTCAGAGGGCCCTTGTAAAGATTCAGCAAGGTAACACTTATAGTATTTAGCAGTCTTTGGTATAAAGACAATGACATTCATTAATAATAATTTTGAAAACCATAATAGGCTATCTTTCGAGAAAGATTCAAAAGGAACAAAAGGAATATTGAGTGTCTATAGAGCCCCAACATTATGTTGTGTACAGACCTATAACAACTTTCAAGACAGGGAATTTCATCCTCATTTTAAACTAGCACTTGGATATTACATTTTTAAAATATAGGTAACCCCTGTGGGTTCTCAGAGGTCCCTTCAGAAGGAGATTCCTGTAATTGTTATTATCATTGTTACTGTTATTATTAGGGTACTCTCAAACGAGCTTTACTCCCTCTTGGAGTGGAACCTAACATGGGGTGAGGCAGGGAGTTGCTAAAACCACTGCTGTGTATGCTGAGTTCAGTAATATGTACTGCTGCTGATCCAATCTCATTTCCCATACCTCTATTATTCTCATTAAAATTTCTGCAGATGAATCATCTGTTTTCTAACTTACCTCTCTCTTACACCTGCAGAATTTGTGGTGAAGAGAACCCCTAGTCTGGCTGCCCCCCACCAAATGATAGCACAAGAGGTAGGGGTAGCCTCAGATTTAAGTCACCTGAAGCATGTCTGGGGGCAGGGAATCCGGAAAGCAGGAGAGTGGCTATGGATCTGCCCCAAGGCGTGAGGGCCCCAAGCTGGGGATACCGGACTCCGGGACTAGGCAAGGGTCCGCTAAATCGGTGGCTCTCTGTCCCCCCACCCTTGACCAGATCAGGATGCCAACACTCCCCAAGTTTCAACTCAAGAGGTCTCCCAGGCTTCGTGTGCCCCAGCCTTGCACGCCTGCCTGCAACGTGGCCGCGTCTGGGACGTCCTCTTACTCCCAGAGTCACCCAAACTCTTCCATTCTTTGTCCAGGCCGAGCTGTGTTCCAGGTGCCCCAGTCCCTGGGTTCTCCCCTCCGCGTGTCTGGAGAGTCTCCACCCTCTCAGGCTCCAGCAACCCCAGGCAAACCCCTTCACGCAGAGTCTTAGCTCTTCTGACACCGCCCGGCTGTGGGGCGGGGGCAGGGCCAGTGGTGGAACCGCCCCCAACCGCCTCCCGGGCCAGCCCAGCCGAGCGGGCGGGTAGCTGGGGCGCCTCCACCTCCTCTTCCTAAAGCGGCGAGGCGCAGACGAGCGGCATCACTGGAGCCCAGGTCCCAGCCACCGCCACACACAGCGCCCCGAATTAAGGAGTAGGAGCACCAGCAGAGGCGGCGGCAACAGCGGCCGGGGGGCGCCACAAAGGTAGACTGAGTCCCAGGGAGTCCCGCGGCGAAATGCCCACCTCCCAGCCCGTGGCCGCGCGCCACTAGCCCAGTAACCCCACTTCTGTGTGTCCTTCCAGGCCCGGGTCGAAAAGCCTGGGAGGGCCGCAGAGCTACCCCTGGAGGAGGAGCCAGTCCCAGCCCAAGGCGCCACCAGCACAGAAGCCGTGCGGAGCAGCAGTCGCTTTCATGGCCCACTCACCGGTGGCTGTCCGAGTGCCCGGGATGCAGGTGAGGAAGCCCAGGCCGCCCCCGGCACCCACGTGACTGCCTGGGCGCGCTCCGCTTTGGGCACTGGCCTTGAGGCGGCCCCAGGGCTCCCCTGAAGGCAGGGCCGGCGCTCTGGCCAGGTGACCTGGGCATTGGGCTCTAAGTGTTTTCTGGTGTTCAGGCTCGGCGGTGCACTGTGCTGGGAAGGCGGGGAAGGACTGGGGCGCTCGTCGATGTCGGGATGGGGGTCGGTTATAAAAATAGGCCAGAGTGAGACACCTGCGCCTGCTGAGGGTGGTACCCTTGGCACTGGAGGAGGGAGAACTTAACTTGGGAAAGACGGAGGTGCCTCCGAATCTGTGGGATAAAACGCAAGTTGTGCCTACTCCTCCCCTTCCCCCCCCCCCCCAACACATACAAGTTGGGGCGGAGCAAGACTAGGGGGTGTTGTTGGCAGCGACATTGAATTGGGCTCTTCCTGTGTGCATAGAGTGAAGAGCGAGGTGACTTCGTTTCCCTTTTTGGTGCAGCTTAAAGGCGAAGTTGTATCTCGCTCCCCCACCTGGCCCAACCCATAGTTCGGTGTGAGAAATGCAGGATCCCATATCAGAGTCACCTAGGAGATGACTCTCTAGCCCCCTCCTCTGCCTTTCCCACAAGATGACTGTTGCATGTGGTTAAAGGAAGCTTTTTGTACTGGATAAGGGACTGTTGCATGGGACCCAACTTCTTACTGGAGATCTACCCAGCCCACTTATTATATTTTCATTTTATTAAAGAAGAAATAGCTATATCCATACTTTTTATGCTATTACTGTTTTTAATCGGTGCATTTCAAGCTATCTTCTAAATGTTATCCAAGTCTACTAACTTTTAAGCATTCACGTTTTATTTTTTCCTTTGTCACATAGCCTAAACAACCTACTGATGAATAGAGACCAGAAACACTAAAGCCTCAGTCTCTCATTATCTTCTAAAAATGTGAAAGCAAACTTTTTCCAAGTTCAAAAATTTTTTTCATTATTAAATAGCTTATATTTCATTAGGGCCTCAATGTACTGCTAATTGATGCATGAAATTCATCTTTTTTTTAAAAGCAATCGGTCACATTTTATACACGATCACAAAAAAAGTTATTTTTAAGATACTCCCCCCCCAAAAAATGACTGTTTGTGTTAGACATATATCTAATCTAAGGGCTCCAGTGTGTCCTAAGCACCAGGCCATTTAGCTGAATAAAGTATAGAGCAAGTCTAAGTTGAGTCCCAGGAAGTCCGTGTGTATTTAATGAAAATGAGAGGAAGAAAAGGGGAAAATAAGAAATATTAGGGCTTCTAAAAAGGTTAATCCATTCAAGCTTTACAAAATGCCCCCCCCATTTTTTTTTCTTTTCAAGACACCCCCTCATCCCTCCCGCTTTCCCCCATGGGCCCTGCCCCACACCCCATTCATTCAGTTCTGCCTTTGATTGTATTAAGGGAATTAGTAGTTTGCAACACTACAGTTTTGCTCTGTCTGATGTGGAAGAAAGTGTGAAGATTTTCTCACAGTACCCTTTTTTCCACTATGTGGAGAGAAGATCTTTACAGAGGTAGTTTGTCTCCGAGGGTTTCCAAGCTTTTCTCTCCACTGTGTGCTGGAGAGTCTGCTTGTATTTGTCACCAGAGTGAGTGCCTCCCCTTCACCAAGTTTGTGATTATGAAAAACTCTGTGTGCTGGAAAAATCTGTGTACTAAGGAGAAAATAGTGTCTGGGGTTTTTTCGTTTGTCTTGACTTTATTTGATTTATATGGTTTCTGGTCCTTATTTGATTTGTCTTTATTTGATTTATATGGTTTAGGAACTGCTTGCTGTTCAGTATTTCTTACTGCTCCCAGCTTTGTTGAATTATCAGAGTTCCCTATCTCTGGAATTTCTAAATGTTAATTAAAATGGTTTAGAATGTGAATCATGTATTTTAAATGACAAATTCTATCTTTCACTTTACGCCTTCCCAAAGTTGTGATTACTTTGTTCAACTAATTTGGAGAGGGCAATCATCTCAATATTAGCAAAGAAGAGAAAAATATTTTTTGTCACTTTCTCTGTCTTAATAAAAATGGTAAATTCTTAACTTCTTATTTCCATTTTCTTGTATAGGTGGTTTTTAAGCATTTGGTGCAACACAAATGTTTTCCACAGTTAAAATTGTACAGTACTCTAAAAATAAATTTGACGGCGTGCAGTGTGGCTTGAGCCTAGATTTCTTTTACTATTCTTTTGTTCAAAAATATTGCGGATGAGATGCAGAAATATATCATGAGCTTTTGAAATTCCCCTAGAGTTTTGTTAAAGAGTTAGGAGTAACTTTTAGACCTTTAGACTAGTAAGAAAACTTGGATTAGCCATGTGTTCTTGAAATTAATGTATAGTAAGTATTTCCACAAATCAGGATGAAGTGGTCGCCTGGCCTATAACTTTTTAACAGTTTATTTTAGAGAATTATGAAGATTGATGGAAAAAATGATTTTTCCAGAAATAAAAACAAAATTACTTTATCCACAGTGTTTTTCTCCCCCTCACCCCCCGCTCCAGGAGAGACGTGAAGTAGAAGCTGAGCTACCTGTTCTATCACTTAAGACTTCCAGCATTCCTGACTTTCAAACAAAGAAATTTCTGTTGCGACTAGTTTAAAATAGAAAAGAAACTTGGAGTGACGAAAGAAAACCCAGGATTTGGTCCAGTTTAAACTCTTCCTTATGAATTAGTTATTCAAACTCATTGTTGATATTTCTTAATATTGTGGTAATGAACATTTTTGCCACATTACACCAAATGTCGAGGATATGAATTTTTTGTATTTAATTTGTGCTTTACTTCTTTAGTATATAACTAAAGGAATTTTCCATGCCAGGAGCTAAACTCTTGAAAAAATATTTAAAGCACAGCTTTTTTTATAGCACAACTTTAAAAAAAATGAGCCAATAAACCTGTTTCTTTCCACTGAAATATTTACTCTTTAATGATTTAAAACATGTTTTTTTCTTTGAAGTTTTTAGTTATAAATCATACTTAAGTTTAAGTTATTTCCCCTCTTAGAACCTGCATTGGTATTTCTAAAGACAAGTATTCTACACTGGTTGTTAAATATTTTATAAAATGTAAGTAGGAGAATAAAGTTAAATGCTGAATTGGAGTACTGTTATGTTGTGTTTATGTTATTTCTCTTGTGAAATAATTTTTAAGTTCTTGCTAAAGAATTTAAAAATTAGCTTTCATGTATCTTTAAATGGGATCAAGTTGGTACTATTTTTGAATGGTTTGAGCTTTGAGGTTTGAGATGGAAATGATGTTTAAGGATTAATGAACACTTTATTGAAGGCTTCTAAGAGGTAGAAAACATTGGCTTGCATTGGTGAACTTAGTTACTGGGTTCTGGGAAGGATACAGAAGTATATATACTAAATGCTCTCTACCTTTGAAAATCTTACAATGTTGTCAGGGAGTTAAATCTAACACATGAAATATCAACTAATGCAAAATATGTGATACATACTCTATAATAGAATTTTCTGAGTGGAAGAGTTGAAGATTTACAGATGATAAACTGACCCCAAAGGATTGTTGTTAGGATCTATATTGGGGAAAGCATTTCCAAGCAGAGAAAAATTCTGAGAAAATGCTTGTAGACAGGGAAGGGCACACCTGCCAAGTATGTGTGTGCACACAATCTTTGAGAGTGGGATAAAATCACTTGGACTATGATGAAGAATTCCTCTAGAGAAATAATAGAAGGTAAAATTGGAAAAAATTATTAGGTCCAGATTATAATGGTTCTTGACTTCTAAGGAAGGATTTTGGCCTTTGGACTAGCCATTATGCATTTCTGAATAAGGGAGATGCAATGAACAAAGTTATATATAGGAAGAGCAACCTCAACATTGGATGAATGGGTGACCTGGAGAATTGAGAGACTTGAGGCCATTTGATCTACTGAGGCTATTTCAGTGGGACAATCATGTATGTCCAGATGCAATGGACCTTGTATTACCTGCCTTCCATATGCCTAATACTATGAAGAAAAAATATATGATTACCAGATTTAATAATTAGCCAGTTAAAGAAAGAGGAATATAAACTTTTGTGGTGTCTAATATGGGGAACTGGGAGAATTATGATATATCTTAAATAATTAGAAAGTCATGGAGAAGAGCCAGATCTAGTAGGAAGTTAGTGATTTCTGTTTAAGGGGAAATATCTTCAATTTAAGTATGGTTTATAACTGAAAACTTCAAAGAAAAACATGTCTTACATCATAAAAGAGTAAATATTTGAGTGGAAATAGGTTCGTTGCTTTACTTTTTAGTTTCTGTTAGGTTTGAGGTAACAATGGGATGACAAAGTTAAAATATAGAACACATCTATTATCTTGACTGTGGTGATGGTTTCACACATGCATGCTTATGTCCAAACTCATCAAATTGTATACATTTTTGTATATCAATATGCCTCAATTAAGCTGTTTTCAAAAAATGTTCAGCAAATACTTGAAAATGTAGGTTTGATGCTTTAGTCATTTATCACACGTTTACTAAGCATTTACTATATGCCAGTCTCTTTTCTTGAAACTGAAGAATATGAGCCACCAAGGACGGAGAGGGTCATAATGACAGAGAGAATGTTTAAGTGAGGGCACTCATGAGATAGGAAGTATAGGTGAAGGACCAGCTTGTAAGGAAAGGACCAGTGACTTTAAGGTGCATGGGAGGAAGAGAAAATGTGTCAGGATCCAGAGGGAGTTAACTGAGGGGAATTCCTTAACTTTCACTCTCATCATGAAACCTAAATTGGAGAAAAGGATTTTGGTTTGGTGCCAGAATCTAGTATGTGAAGTTCTAACCCTCCCTTGTACCTTCCAAAGGTAATAATCAGTTTTGCAATTTGAGGTAAAAGTGGAAAGCATTGCCTTGCATTGATTAAACTCAAACCATTGTCCTAGTTGGTGAGTGGTTGATACAGAGATGTTGAATATGCTAATGATA